GCAGGAATGGAGGGCAGAGCCCCTGGAATCAAGATATGCAGCCAGGATAGAAACCCACACTGCAGGGGAGGATGGGTGGATTCCCTCCTACACTTATACTGCTTCCTCTCCAAGTGTAAAGTTTTGCTTTCTTTGTGTACAAAGGGATTGGATTGGCAGAAACCTCTCAAATAAGTGGGATTGGGGTTTGCAAGTGAACCTGGACTCTGAGGGTTAATTTGCTGGGCATCTGTCAGATCAGGATTCATTTGGCCCTGGTCCCAGGGTGCTGTGATGTCCTTGCAACCTCACTGCTTCAAGAACGTGGAACTTTTATGCCTAAAGCTAACATGTTCGTCGTCATGGTAACTGCTCCTAGTTTTAAGCCATGTCCTCCCTGTGATAAAGGCAACAAAGGCAGCTTCATTTCTTTCTGGCCTTCTGAGCCAGATCTAGGAGACAGGGAGGCAAAATCTTGAGTAGTTTGGAGCAAGGGCTTGGAAGGCACCCTGCTTGGGTGTGGAAGGAGCCAGGGGACTAGCGGTAGCTTTGGGCTGGCAGCCATTCTCAGGCAGCCCGTGTGTGCCCTTCTCTACCCACCGCTTCCACCCCAGATGTCCGGCCTATTTGACCAGCTCAGCCACCAACAGCTCCTGCCCGAGAGTCCTGGGTAGAGAGTTTGACAACAGGGACTTATCCATGCACTGGGGCTAGGCCTTAGTATTGGTCACATGTGATATTCTGAGTCTTTTTTTTTTCTAAACTTATTTTATTTTATTTATTTTCTATTTTTGGCTGCGTTGGGTCTTTGTTGCTGCGTGAGGGCTTTTCTCTAGTTGCATTGAGCGGGGGCTACTCTTCATTGCGGTGCACGGGCTTCTCATTGTGGTGGCTTCTCTTGTTGCGGAGCACAGGCTCTAGGTGCATGGGCATCAGTAGTTGTGGCTCACGGGCTCTAGAGCGCAGGCTCAGTAGTCGTGGCTTGCCGGTTCTAGAGCACAGGCTCAGTAGTTGTGGCACACGGGCTTAGTTGCTCCACAGCATGTGGGATCATCCCGGACCAGGGCTCGAACCTGTGTCCCCTGCATTGACAGGCAGATTCTTAGCCACTGCACCACCAGGGAAGCCCGATATTCTGAGTCTTGCATTGACCTGGAAAGGGTAATCTGGAGGAGGATTTTTCTGGATTGCATCTAGCTACCACCATGAACTCTAGGCCAGGCCTTTCAGGTCTGCCAAGCCTGGTTTTCCTGCTTATGGAGTAGGCATGTCTCTTGCCCACAGGGGTGTTGAGTACATGGGACTCCTGAATGGGAGCTGGGCTCAGTTCTGCTTCAGCCTCTCAGTGGTTCTGTGGCAGTGGCTTCGGAACATATGCATGCACTTTGAGAGGCCCATTTGACCCTCACAACAGTCTGGTTAGAGCCTAGCGCAGGTGAGGTTTCATCCAGGGGTGCAAAGTTGTCCTGGTTCACCTACCTATTGGATTCTGGGGCTGGAAGATTCATGGTGCACAGAGCCAGCTTAGAGCTTGGAGAGGGGCAGACCATGAAGCAGGCAGGACCCAGGGTGGAGGGAAGCAGTGGTGGCCCAAGGTGCTTGGACATCCCAATTCTGTGTCCCCAGTGAGTGCAGCTAATACCAGAGAGGGTCAAGGCCAGCATAGGCCCAAGGAAGCGACGGAAGCCTCTGCCATGAGACTGACTGCACAGGCGTAGCTCCACTTTTTTTGCCCCTTTTATGTCTCTTTTCCTGTCCTAGGGTCTTGTACCTGAGATTATTTTCGTCCATTTTACCTACTTTTTAAAAAGGCACACAGAGATAAAGCAAGGTTTCTCTCTCCATTGTTGACTTAGCTTGGCCTTGAGGTGTGCAGGGTTCATGCTTCCCTGGGCCCATAGGCCTCCTTGTCCCCTCCTGGGGCTCCCCACAAGCCTTATGGGAGGCTGAATGGAGGCCAGCTCTGATGCCTTCTTGCTGCTTATTGTGGGTATTGCCTTGCAGAATGAACTGGATAATACCAGAGCCCTGCTTTCCCAGAAAGGTGAGTTCCCAAGGGGCCCTGGGAAGCCCCTGACTTGGGTAGTGGAGGGAGAGGCCCTGGGAGGAAGGCGTCCAACCTTCTGGCAGAGCCAGGGTCTCTCCCTGCTTCATATGTCCAAGAGTCCTATCAGCTCTTGTGATTGGCAGAAAAGGAAAGGAAAGGGAGGTGACCGAAGCTGTCCACCTAGATCAGGTGAGCCTCTTCTCTTTGTCTGAGGCTGCTTGCCTAGGACCCGGGCTGGGAGGGGGCTATCTGATAGGACAAAGTATTTGTAGGTGAGGGTTCCACTGCCAAATTTGGCAGGAACTTGAGTTCTGGGATGATGAATTAACTAGACCCACAGGAGCACAGAGCAGTGAAATCTTTACTCAAGTAGTTCCAAGCATCAGAAAGAGGGTCTCATCCCCTGAAGGAAGAGACTCTGGCTGGGTGTCCCTGGTTTGGTGTCTGCCAGAGAGAGAAGCGGGCCACCCAACTTTCTGGCCTGAGACTTGTTCCTCACCTGGCTCTGGGGTGGTGTGCTGGAGCCCAAGGGCCCATGTTCTCATACTGCAGTGTGGACGGGCCTCTCCTCTCCCTCTATCCCCCACCCTTGCTCCAGAGAAGGAAAAACGAGACAGCCAGCTTATCATTGACACTCTGCGGGACACGCTGGAAGAACGCAACACCACTGTTGAATCCCTGCAGAAGGCCTTAGACAAGGCTGAGATGCTGTGCTCCACCCTCAAGGTGGGTCCCCAGGCCTTGTGGACACAGATTGCTGGGGAGATATAGTTTTAGTCCTGGACTGATCACTCTGGGCTTGTCTTTTGGTTCTGCCTTGGTCAATACCTTGGTTTGTGCAATTGTAAAATGGAGGCAAATCCCATCTTCCCCAGGCTTCCCATGCTGTACCCATCCAGCCCATGAGAAAAGAGTCATATTGCCTGCACTTATGGGTTTTGTACTAGGTAGTTTCGAGAGGTGAGGCCTGCCCAGTGCTTCATGGAGGGGCTGCTCAGCCAAGACCTCAGTGAGGCTGGGCCGTGTTTCCAAAAGTGGTTTGTACTCCACTGACAAAGCCAGCCTGAAGAACCTTCCATTAGCACTCTGGTCCTTGGCTGGGCTGCTCTCTGGAGCCAGATCAAACAGCATCCCAGGGAGGAGCAGGGGGCCTTTGAAGTTGGCTGTGCTGAGCTGACCGGGCAGATCAAAGCCTGCAGAGCAAGTGGCTCTAGACCCAGATGAATATTGTATCAGCCTGGGTTGGTGAGCCTCTCGCTCTCCGAGGGGCATGAGGTGATTGACTTAAATCCACAATTGATATTCTGGCCTCGTAAGAAGGAGCAGTCCTTGCTGGATGCCATTTGAAAGGGAAAGGGAGCCATCCTTGTGAACAGATAGGGCCCTAGGGTGTTCATTGTTTCTGTCTCTGCTTCGTGGCTGGCCTGGATCACGTGGCCTGGCCAGTGGGAAGGAAGGAGTGAACCAGCACCTGGCTGTAGAGCAGGAGTCTGCTGGCAGTCCCAGGTCAGAGATGAAGTGGCCAAGTACTGAGGGCAGCCTGGCCAGCTGCCTCTGGCTCAGCTCTCCTACCCTGGCAACTGTCCATAGGTCTAGATGGTGGATAGCACAGCCTGGATTTGTGCTCCAGGCTTCTTCAGCTTCCTACACAGCAGGCCACAGGACCCTGGCAGGCCCCAGCAGGCCTATAGATCCTGGGAGTGGGCTGTGCCTATGGTAAGACATATTTCAGGAGGAAGCAAGCAGGGAGGTGAGGAAGCAGCTGGCCTAGGGCCTCTTAGCAGAAGAAACACAAGCCAGAGTGGGGCCCAGGAGCCTTACCTCCTGGGGGTTGGAGCATATGCTTATCAGCATTTTCAAAAGCATACAGTTCTAGGGTAGTGTTATCCCAGTGACTTTAGCCTTGGCCCCTGGGAGCCTCCAAGCAACAGATATGTAGGGGTACGTTTGCTCTTCAGAAGCAGATGAAGTACTTGGAACAGCAGCAGGATGAGACCAAACAAGCACGGGAGGAGGCCCGCCGGCTCCGGAACAAGATGAAGACCATGGAGCGGTGAGCTTGGAACTGGGGCCTGCCCTGTGCCCTTGCACCTAGGGCCCTCTGGGGCACAGCTCTCAGGACTGCAGCAGGGGCTGACTCACCTCTGTAGCTCAACTCTCCATAGGCCATGGGGGGCTCAGGCTAGCTGAGTATGGGCACAGGTCTTACTCAACCTCTATGGGCTCCTCTACTTTCCATGGGGGCTCTTGCCACACTCCTCCCTGTCCCTGTTGCCTGTGGCCAAATGACCTGGCAGGGGTTTTGTTCCAAGAACCTCTCTCGGGATCCCTGACCTGAGGCTCTCTGTCAACACCCCTTCTTCCTCAGCAGCATCGCTGCAGCTGTGCTTAGCTCTGCTGTGGGGCCTTTCTTTGGACAGACCTGCCTGCTGAAACATCCTAGCAGCTCAGGCTGTCACCATAGCAACGGCAGCAAAGGGAAGCAGAGCTGCACTGGGTATCTACCCATCAGCCTCCAGATTTTAAATGCCGTGGGCTGGGTGTTTTTCAGAATTGAGCTCCTACTCCAGAGTCAGCGGCCCGAGGTGGAGGAGATGATCCGAGACATGGGTGTGGGACAGTCAGCGGTGGAGCAGTTGGCTGTGTACTGCGTGTCCCTCAAGAAGTGTGTACTCTGGCCCCTCTATCCAAGCCCAGGAGCTAAGCCATGGCACCCCAGCCATGCCTCTCCGTCTGTTGCCCGTCTCTTGTAAAGCACAGCAGGTGGAGTTAAGGGGCAGGCTCTGGAGCCATGCTGCCTCAGTTTGAACCCTCACCCCTTTCACCATGTGGCCAGGAGCCAATTTCTTAACCTCTCTGATCCTCAGCTTCCTGAATGGAGATAATAATAACTTGCCTCACAGGATTATTGAGAGAATTGAGTGTGAATTATAAGTGTTATTTCTAAAGACGTTGGCACAGCTTTCTGAGCCATGAGCCCCATCATGATATCTGGAGCCTGTTTCCCATTAGCACTGTTACTGACCCTACCTGGCTTGCATCAGAAACTCAGCTCAGATGTTCACTACAATGGGTGTGAGGTGGGAGAAAAGGGACCACTTGGCTGACAGGCATGGAGGATCCCAGATGCCTCGTGTAGGGGTCAGGTGGCGTAGGGGGCCTCGTAGTGGGGCCGGGGCTTCCTGCACACCCTCTCAAATCGCCAGTGCCTGCAGGCAGGCAGGGAACAGAGACTCACCAGCTCTCCTTGCATTGGGTGCCGGACCCTCCACAGCACCACCTGGTCCCCTCTGGGCTCAGGTGTCAGAGTAGGAATGAGAAGGGCTGAGGGCTTGGGATGGGCTTTGTGTTTGGTTGGTGCTGTGGCTCAGTCTGACCAGCAGGTGTCTGGTGCTGACATGTCTTTCTATGGCCCCTTTGTAGAGAGTACGAGAATCTAAAAGAGGCGCGGAAGGCCTCAGGGGAGCTAGCTGACAAACTGAAGAAGGATTTGTTTTCTTCCAGAAGCAAGGTAATTCAGTGGGGAGCTGACAGTGAGGGGAGAGGTGGCTGTCCTTTTGTCATGCTCATTTGTGTCTCCTAAGCAAGGCCATGGGGCTGTTGGATGACTCACAGAGGCTGGTTTCTGATCCTTACCGGGCATTGACTCTGGCTACATGGCTTGTCCAGTTAGGGTGGCAGATCAGGCAGGTATCCCCCCAGCCTCTGCACACTTCTGTTCCCCTCTGCTCTTCTGGGTACCTCTCAGCTGGCTGGAGCACACAGGTCCCAAATGTGACAGCTTCAGGGGCCTGTTTTTTGTTCCAGGCCCAGAGTATGAGGCCTCTTGTTTTGGGGTATTTTTTGTTTTGTTTTATTTTGTTTGTGATTTTTGGCCACGCTGCTCAGCTTGTGGGATCTCAGTTCCCCAGCCAGAGACTGAACCTGGGCCATGGCAGTGAAAGCCTGGAATCCTAACCAGTAGGCCACCAGGGGACACCCAGTAGAAGGCATCTTGGAACCTGATTCAGTCAGCACAGCAGTTTTTATTTCTGGGCATGGTGCATCCATGGGCAAGGGTGTAGGAAGTAGCCCTTGCTCCTGGGCAGCTCCAGATGGACATTGCCGGACTAAGGTCCAGCCCCATGGAGCTAGGGTCTCCCTCCTGTGTTCCCAGCTCTTCTGGACCCCGGGCTACCACGAGCTGATGTTGCAGCAGGTGCGGGCAGGGCACATGGGCACCCCTTGGTTCATCCTTTTCTCCTTACACTTTCTTGTAGTTGCAGACAGTCTACTCTGAACTGGACCAGGCCAAGTTGGAGCTGAGGTCGGCCCAGAAGGACTTACAGAGTGCTGACAAGGAAATCGCAGTGAGGGACATCTCTGGCCAGGCGGGAACGAGGGGTGGCTTATGTGCCCTCCAAGAACAGGGCTGGCCAGTTCTGCCCGCGAAACCTTACACCAGTCAGTGGTGGTTGCTCTGGGATCCCTGCATCCTCCTGGGTCAGGGTGGGTCAGGACATGTGCCTTGGCCCTTGGTCTGGAGCCAGGGCCTCCTCAGCAGAGGACAGAGAGCACCTGGGTCTTCCTCACAGTCTGTCCTGTGCCTATATCCTTGAGACCACCAGAGTAGGGGCTCCACCAGAGAGGGGTTCTGAGGTCGGGTGGTCCTGGCCTCCTGAGCCTGATATTTGGGTTTCGGGCCTTGTTCTGTTCCCAGTGGGCTTGCCTTTCGTGTGTGGTGCTCAGTCCTTGGCAGTCCCTCTGGACTTGGTGCCTCAGCGGCTCTTTCACTCTCTTCTCTTTTCTTCTCCAAGAGCCTGAGAAAAAAGCTAACGATGCTGCAGGAAACCCTGAACCTGCCACCAGTGGACAGTGAGGCTGTCAACCGCCTGGTTTTAGAGAGGTTTGTTGACCCTCTGGGGTGGTGCAAGGGCTATAGGCTGGAGGAGCTCCCTGGTAAGGGTGTCCTTACTCCTCCTGGCTTTGTGGGAGTGGGTGGCCCATGAGGGCCTGAAGGCTGTGGACCCCCTGCCCTGGGAGATAGCCAAGATTTAGCTGGAAAGCAGCTTTGAGGTAGATTCTGGGCTCTGACAAGGAGAGGCCAGGGGAGGCCAGAAAGTACCTAGGGCTGGTCAGAGAAAGGGCAGGAGCACCAACTCAGGGCATCCTGTTTATGGAATGGCTCACCTAACGTATCTGTTTGCCACAGGTTCTGAAACAACCACGGAAATACTGTAACTCTCTTCTGGTTCCAGGAATATGCACATTAAAGCTGCCAGCAGAGGGAGCCAGAGGCAGAGGGATGGGTGTCCTCCCGAGTGTTCCACAGAAGCCAATGGGCTGAGAGGGTCCTCAGGGCAATCTCCTGCCTAGCAGTCCTCCTGATGGTCCAGACAGAAAACACAATCCAGCAGCCCAGCCACTTTTTTTTTTCCCCCGAGCCACACAGCATGCAGGATCTTAGTTCCCCAATCAGGGATTGAACCCATGCCCTCTGCATTGGTAGCGCGGATCCTTAACCACTGGACCACCAGCATAGTCCCCAGCCACTTTTTTTTTTTGGCTGTGTTGGGTCTTCGTTGCAGTGCATGGGCCTCTCATTGTGGTGGCTTCTATTGTTGCAGACCATGGTCTCTAGGCCAGTGGGCTTCAGTAGTTATGGCACGCAGGCTCAGTAGTTGTGGCTCACGGGCTCTAGAGCACAGGCTCAGTAGTTGTGGCTCACGGGCTCTAGAGCACAGGCTCAGTAGTTGTGGCGCACGGGCTGAGTTGCTCCGCGGCACGTGGGATCTTCCCAGACCAGGGCTCGAACCCGTGTCCCCTGCATTGGCAGGTGGATTCTTAACCACTGCACCACCAGGGAAGCCCCCCAGCCACTTTTATTTGAGCCACTTTTCTTTTTTTTTATTTAACTATTTATTTATCTAGGCTGCGCAGGGTCTTAGTTGCAGCGTGAGGGATCTTTAGTTGTGGCATGCAGTCTTCTTAGTTGCAGCATGCGGGCTGTTAGTTGCAGTGTGTGGACTTCTTAGTTGAGGCATGCCTGTGGGATCTAGTTCCCCGACCAGGGATCGAACCCGGGCCCCCTGCATTGGGAGTGTGGCATCTTACCCACTAGACCATAAGGGAAGTCCCTTTGAGCCATGTTTCAATGTTGGAAACTCATTATGCTCCCTCTTCCCCACATCCACTCAGTTGCTAGAGCCTGCCCATCTAACTTCTGTGGTGCCTTCCTGACCCTTTTCCTTGCTCCCACCTCTGTGTGAGACTTGTGACCCATCGCCCCACTCCTCCCCCCTGTCCTGTATAGCAGCCCCAGGGCATCATGCCACTCCCTTGCCAAACATCTCCCAGGACCCTTGGCACTGGCCTCAGGCCCTCATGGAGCTGGCCTGGTGGGCTGCGGTGGATATTCAGGCTTCAGCCAAATCACACTGCCCAATGCAGCAGAACACCCCTTGCCTTCCTGCTCCTATGCCCTCCTGTGTTTCTGCTTTTCTCCACGCTGAAGTGTCAGCTGCCCTGCAGAGCCTTCCCTAGTCTCCTCAGCAGAAATAAGCTCACTGTCCTCTGCACAGGTAGCACTTCTTTTTTTTTTTTGCGGTATGTGGGGCCTCTCACTGTTGTGGCCTCTCCCGTTGTGGAGCACAGGCTCCGGACGCGCAGGCTCTGGACGCGCAGGCTCAGCGGCCATGGCTCACGGGCCCAGCCGCTCCACAGCATGTGGGATCTTCCCAGACCGGGGCACGAACCTGTGTCCCCTGCATCGGCAGGCGGACTCTCAACCACTGCACCACCAGGGAAGCCCACAGGTAGCACTTCTTATTCAGATGCCGTCAGCTACTAGGGTCCACAGAGGTGCTCTAGAGGCTTTCTGGAGCCTGGTCTACCCTCTGTGTACACACCCGGCTGTGAGTAGACCGGGAGCTGCCTCCTGATCTGTGTCCCCACCATCAGCTTCCTCACACACACGCTCCTTCCCCCACACCATAGTATCCGGTCAGCGTCTGAGGGGGCCAGTGAATGCATGCAAACCAGTTTCCTCTCATTCTCCTACCTTTCATTCCTCAGTCTTTCTCTTTCCTTTCATACCTCAGGTCCTCCAGTGTTTCTTTTTTTTTTTTTTTTTTTAATTATTTAATTTATTTATTTTTGGCTGCGTTGGGTGTTCGTTGCTGCACGCAGGCTTTCTCTAGTTGCGGTGAGTGGGAGCTACTCCTTGTTGTGGTATGCTGGCTTCTCGTTGCGGTGGCCTCTCTTCTTGTGGAGCATGGGCTCCAGGCATGCTGGCTTCAGTAGTTGTGGCACATGGGCTCAGTAGTTGTGGTGCACGGGCTTAGTTGCTCTGCAGCATGTGGGATCTTCCTGGGCCAGGGCTTGAACCCATGTCCCCTGCATTGGCAGGCAGATTCTTGTCCACTGCACCACAAGGGAAGCCCCTTCCAGTGTCTCTTTACAGAGCCAGGGCTGCCTGCCTGCCCCAGTTTAGGTCTGAGGGCTGTGGGAGTGTGATGGGCACCTGACTCTGTGAGGTCCAGCCTGTGGCTGATTTTGACAAACTAAGCTCTGTTTCTGGTCCCTCCTACCTACTCTACACTCAGAGTCCATCGGCCCAGCCACCTTGGAAGCCCCAGGTAACATGAAGGCTCTGTCAGGAGCTTGGCAAGTATAGTACCCACCCTCAGGGAGCTGTTAGTCTCAGTGACCATCTCATGTAGATAGACCTTTAGAACCCAACCTGAGTCAAGGCAGAAAGTAAAAATCCTTTTTTTTAGGATATCACTCAAGGCTGCTGTCTGCAAGCTCCCCATCGTGCTCCCTCCACTTTCTATTCCATGGGCCTTGGTGTTTCCATGCACTTGTCATCTGTGTCTGGCGTCCACAGTAAGGGGGAGCACAAGCACAGAGGCTTCCTCTAGGTGCCCAGGGACTTTCCATTCCTGCTTTTGCTTACATTCTTTTTATTTATTTGTCTGGTTGGTTAGTTGATTGCACTGGGTCTTAGTTGCAACAGGCAGGCCCCTTAGTTGCAGCTTGCATGCTCCTTAGTTGCGGCAGGTGGGCTCCTTAGTTGCGGCAGGTGAGCTCCATCGTTGTGGCATGCGAACTCTTAGTTGCGGCACACATGTAGGATCTAGTTCCCAGACCAGGGATCAAACCTGGGCCCCCTGCACTGGGAGCTTGGAGTGTTATCCACTGCGCCACCAGGGAAGTCCCAATTTCCTTCCCTTTTAAGGCTGAATCAGCAATCGCATTTTAAATTTGCACACATTCTTTCTTGCTCGCTGAATACATCCTTGGCAAAATATGCTATCCCTTGTTTTATGGTCTAGCATTTTCATTTCTGTCAGGGCCAGTGTTTGCACATCATGGCCTTTCTCTTGGATTTCCCTCTCATGCTTAGGGGTCCTTGGCTGCCTGTGGCCCTCTGAGGAGGAATAACAGAAAGGTGTCCTGGGAACCCAACCTTTATGGGCAGGGATTGGGGGAATGTGCAGTCATCTGGTATCATGTCTGAACCTAGGTGCAGAGGGATTTGCTGTCAGGTCCAGTACTGGCTGCCGTAAGATCCCGTGGATGGTTTGCAGGTGACTTTAGGAAAGGCCCTTCTCATTCTTGGCCCCAGGTAGCAGGCTCACTTCCTGGTGCTCACTCCCTGATGTAGGGAGGGGTGGCACCAAGCTCGCACCTTCCATCAGTACCTCCATTTTCAGGCTTGTTTAATGCATCTGTAAATCCAGGTCTTCCCCGCTCGTCCCTTGCATCCGTAGCCCTCTCCTGGTGGGTTCTGGCTATTGTGTAAGTCTCCTATCCCCTGGCCATGCTCTCTCCCAGATTTTTGTGGAAATCTATGGGTACTGATGATGGCTGCCCATTCCATTTGTTGCAGTAGGGTTATCCTTCACTCCTGTCATTTTAGGGAGGCCTCAGGAGGTAGCTATCACCCCCAACCACAGAGGAGGTGTTTGGAAGACCTCTCTCATGGACCCCAAGAGCCCCTGACCTCCAAGCTGAAGGGAGTTGGGGAGGCCTTTGCTTAGGGTAGGCCTGCCGGTTGCCATGAGTTCATGGAGGACACACTGACTAACTCCCGTGCCACACAGGTAATAGGTCTGCCCAGGGCCTTGGTTGAGTTTTGGAAAGAGGGGTGTCTTGCCCAATTCCTGAGTCCTCTGGCATGAAGCCCTGTATGTTGGCCATGGGTGACTATCCCAAAGATGATGGTATCACCCAGGAGGACCTAAAGCCAGGCCCTCAACCAGTTGGGGGGTGTATATGGCCACTAAGCTCTAGACTCTTCCACCTTGTCAGACAGACAGAAGGTGGGAAGGAAAGACAAGACCATTGGCAGGAAGAAAAACAGGGTTCGAGCTTATAAAAGAAGAAGGACTTACCAGGAAGTGTCTGAGGGAATAAGAAATGTGTTCATATGAGCCAGATGGTGTGGGGGAGTCAGGGAGGCACTGAGAGAACCTCCTGAGTCTTGAATTTAGTGTTGGGGATGGCCAGGAGGTGTGAGTGAAAAAGACTGGCTTGGCTTGAGCCAAGGCTGGGCACATGCCATGAACACCACTGGGCAAGGTCTGAGGCAATGGCAGCAGGAAGTCCTACCCTGAGCCACCTGGAGGGCAAAATGGCTCTCATGGCCAGACCCTGCCTGCCTCCTGAGTGCACCTCTCTTAACCTGGACCTGGACTTGCTGAGGTTGGTAAAAAGTGGCAGAGTAACAGATCTTACAGAAGATTGGCATGGGCTTCCCTGGTGGCACAGTGGTTAAGAATCCTCCTGCCAATGCAGGGGACACGGGTTCAAGCCCTGGTCTAGGAAGATCCCACATGCCGCGGAGCAGCTAAGCCGTGCGCCACAACTACTGAGCTTGCGCTCTAGAGCCTACGAGCCACAACTACTAAAGCTCGCGTGCCACAACTATTGAGCCTATGCTCTAGAGCCCCTGAGCCACAACTACTGAAGCCCACGTGCCTAGAGCCTGTGTTCCACAAGAGAAGCCACTGCAGTGAGAAGCCCGAGCACCGCAATGAAGAGTAACCTCTGCTCACCACAACTAAAGAAAGCCCGCGAGCAACAACGAAGACCCAATGCAGCCAAAAATAAAAATAAATAAATAAAATAAAATTATTAAAAAAAAAAAAAGATTGGCATGAGTGGTCCTGACTGCTGCTTTATGCTGTGGTTCCCAGAGGGGGAAGAAAAGCAATGCGTGAAGTTGGTCTGAGGTGGGTCTATGCAGCCTTTGCTTCCACCTACAGGCAAGGAAAGGGTAGAGCTTCCAGGGGTCTGGCCAGGGAAAGAAAGAGAGTCCAAGCTCCCCAGATTGCTTACCTACCCAAGTCAGTGCAGGTAGTTCCTTTCCTCTGATATGCACATCCCATCTGGCTCCTGGCCAGAGACTAATACGGCACAGCTCATCCCTCTGTCCCTGAGTAGTGAGAGTAGGGCTGTGGGCAGCTCTGAAAGGCTCCTG